CAATGATCTCATCCAGCCCAGCCATCTCCTCCGTCAGGTTCTTCACCTGCCAACCAGAGCACCCACCCCTTCAGAGCCAAAGGCCAACAGCTAGGGACATCTGTGGAGACCTCCATGCTAAGGACCAGCATCACACTCTGGTCTGGGAATCTGAGGATGCCTGGGCTTGGGCCAGAGGGGGCTGTCTTTACCTTGTTCTCTGTTGCGTGCTTCTCCTTTTCCACCTTGGCCAGTGTCAGCTCCAGGTCATCAATGTCCTTCTTGAGCTCTGAGCATTCATCTTCCAGCTTTCGCTTCTTGGCGGTGAGCTCGGCATTCATCTCCTCCTCATCCTCCAGCCTCTCATTCATCTCCTTCACCTTGGCCTCCAGCTGGATCTTGTTCTTGATCAGCTGGTCACAGCGCTCCTCTGCATCATTAAGGTTGTCTTGTTCCTGGGAGAAGAGGACAGGGAAGAAACTGGTGGTTAAAGAGAGGAGAGATGCAGGGTCTTGAATAGAGTTGGCATTTCTAGACTCCCAGATGAAGAGATCATCCCACGACCTCACCGCCTGCACTTGGAGCTGCAGGTCATTCTTCTCCTGCAGCAGCGACACCATCTTCTCCTCCAGCTCCTTGCGGCGAGCCTCGGACTTCTCCAGTGAGTCTTTGATGCGCCCGAACTCCTCCTTCATATTGGCCATCTCCTTCTCTGTTTCTGCGCTCTTCAGCAGTGGCTTGATCTTGAAGTAGAGCTTCATCCATGGCCAATTTTTGACACCCATGAAGGCTCGAATGTTCCACTGGATTACCAGCAGGGCATCCCTGGCAAGGAAAAGTGGAGCAGGGAGGGACCCTGTAACAGAGACTTTCCCCATCCTGGGACCAACTGTATATAGTTTTTCTCCCATCTAGCAAGTTTGTAAGCTCAGAGACAGGAGCCCTGCCTTGTAGCCTCATTGCATGTAAGAGCTCTTGACCAAATAGTGCTGCACTGAAAATGGAGTTGCTCCATAAAAATGTGAATCAATTCAACAAAAGTGTAGTTTGTATCTCCCTTACTGGAACAGTGATAGAAGCTACCACTTCTAACGTATCTACTATGTTCAATGTTTTTATCCTGATGAGAACTTCAAATAGGTTAAAATTATATAGCATTTTACCTTTAAGACTGTCATATATATATTTTATAGATTTATTTATTTATTTATTGGCGGAACTGGGAATTGAACTCAGGCCTTTGTGCTTGCCAGGCAAGTGCTTATTCTACTGACCCATCTCCCCGGCCC